CAGGACAGAAGAAGGAGAGAGCAGGAAGCCAGAGGCTCGAAGGGGGGGGGGGGTGTTCCATGAGCCGCGACAGCACCAGATTCGGGTCCCACAGAGGAACTGGATCCTTGATGTGCGGGTAGAGGCGCTCAAGGCCCTTGAGGAACCTGGCCATCATGTCCTGGGCAAAAACGGATACCCTCGAGTGGCGGATGAAAGGCCAAAATAGCAACCAAGTGGACCTTGATAGATGAAAGGGACAGGCCTTGGAGCTTGAGATTCAGCAGGTAGTCCAGGATTAACTGCAGTGAGGCCCTCTCAGGCCAAATGCCTTTATCCAAGGTCCAGCAGGCGAACCGCTTCCATTTGGCCAGGTAGGTCACTCTGGTAGAGGGCTTTCTGCTGCCCAACAGGACCTGTTGGACATCAGTCGAGCACTGCTGCTCCTGCTCATTCAACCATGCAGCAGCCAATCCATCAGGTGCAGCATTGCCAGGTTCAGATGCAGAAGACTGCCATGGTTTTGAGACAGCAGGTCCGGCCAGAGCAGGAGCTGTAACGGAGCAGCCACTGAGAGCTCCAGCAGTGTGCCAAACAAGTGCTGGTGCAGCCAAGCCGGTGCTATGAGGATCACCTTCGCCCTGTCCTGCTTGATCTTCATGAGGACTCTGAATTAACAATACTGGGGGGAAGGCATAAAACAGAGCCCCCGACCACGGGAGCAGAAAAGCACCTGAGAGAGCCTCTGCTGCTCCCCTGAATTGAGGGGAAAACGTGGCATTCCCTGTTCTGTCTGGACGCAAACAGGTCCACTTGGGGAGTTCCCCCACTTGTGGAAGATGAAGCTGACCACTTCCGGATGGAGGGACCACTCGTGATGAGATGAGAAAGTGCATGATCAGCTTGCCCTTAGATGCTGGGGTCTTAGCCAAGTCTGCTGCCTGGTGTGGTGCCGGTTGGCCTACTTGTTCTTTAGCTGCCAGGGCCGCTTCACACAATGAGGGCCCTTGGAGAGACCAGGATCCCTGGAGCCAGATCCCTGGTCAGGCTGGAGGAGTCTGGCCTCCGCGGTACCCCCATGAAGCTCTAGGGCGGGCACATGGCCTGATATCAGTCCTTTGCCCAAAGCCCTTTTTCCTTCTGGTGCCAGGGAGCTCTTCTTTTGCTGCTTCTTAGGCACCAGCGAGGGGGAACAGTATCGGGTGGAGCCCGGTGCCAGTGGTGCACGCCGCACCAAAGCTGAAGTGCTTGGCATAGGGTCCAAGTGGGAGGGCTCCGATGGAGGACAAAGCACAGCCTCCATGAGGGTGGCCCTCAAGCGGATATCCCGCTCCTTTTGGATTCTAGGTCGAAAGCTTTTACAGATTTGACACTTGTCCTTTCTATGGGAATACCCGCAAACACCTGCAGCTGTCATGGGGGTCACTGATGTCGAGCATAGTTTGAAGCCAGGAGAGCAGGGCTTGCCCAGCTCCAGGATGAAGTCCCAGTCGGGATTCTAACTACCAACTAACCTAACACTTAACTTAATGGCTGGCTAAGTACCTACAAACTATATACAAAGAAGATAAAGGCTGTAACGAACCACTAATGCTCTTGCGATCTGCAAGAAAAGGTGCTCGTCATGGGCGGTAAGAAGGATCTGAGAAGGCGTAGGGTCAGCGGCGCCTAACATACCGACACATGAGCACAGCATTCAAGGGAGCACCACAGCTGACCCTACAGATACCGCTAAGACAAATGCCTCTGACAACTGTGCACGTGGGCACACACCTGCCTAGAATGGGATCGACTTGTGCAAGCACTCAAAGAAGAAAAATATAGCTCAAACAGAAGTTATGGGCAAAATTACTGCGTGATTACTCAGTGAATCCGTGGCTTATGGGATGCAGGTATGTGATCTCACTGGTCCTTTCTGGCCTCAAAATTTATGAATCTATACGAACACTTGAGATCTTCCATGTACATATGCAACACTAGACCAATTTATTAGACCTAGAAGAGTTTGAGGAGGCAGCCCTGGCTGTGGGTTCCCCCTCTGAAATTTATCATCTCCCAAAATCCCACATGCAGATGTAGCCTGAGTGCTGACTTTAGTTTATTTAGTTCTGATAAGAAAGGGGGTCACATTAAATACATTGATCAAATTCTATACAAAGACTTGATGCTGTTTTAGCACAGATCAAACTGATGGGTTAGGGACAGGGCCATGTTAACGAGCAGGAAGGACTATCAGGCAGGCACTGAATAATTTACCCCTTCCCACTTTATAGTAAATATTCATACACAAGTTGCCCTGAACATCTCACTGGATCCCCAGCTCCTCTCCCACATGAAAATAAGCACTGTAAGTGACCTCCGGATGTGTTGGATCTTTTCCTTTGTCTTTGGTCCCAGTAGAGCTTTCCTGGGAAATGGACAACATTCTGAGCGCTACATTTATACCCCCTGCCCTTTAAAAAAAAAAAAAAAAAATCAGTCACTGAGAGACCTGACCTATTTAATACTGCAGTGCCTACAGTTCCAATTCACAACCCCATCAGACTAGACACTGAGGGCACTATGTTTTCACCTGCAAGTTTCAAAAATTTCTTGGGTCGCAATACAATTTTAGAGGGGTAGCCGTGTTAGTCTGAATCTGTAAAAAGTTACTTAATACAATTTTAATATAATTCACATATACACAGCACCTTTCATCTCTAAATTCTTTACAAACTATGTACATAAACCGTCTCTGAACGCAGCCAATTCCAGGGTGCCTGTCTGCTGATCAGCAGATAAATTAGTGCACAGCACACTTGAGGTAGAAAAGAAGGAGATCAGGGAAACCCCCTTGGTCTTCAGGCATCAGAAGATCTTTAATATGTACACACAGCAGATGGGACTTTGTTTTCAAGATTAAACCCACACCATCATCCTAGAACTCTCACAGTAAACTGCACATTAACCATCTTTTCCCTTGTGGAACAATGGTGTTTCTTACATTGGACTAATCAGGAGCTCTGAAAAAACCTTCCAGCAAAGAACAGATGGATCTAACAGTGATCTAGTTATGAAAACAGATCAACGGTTGAGACTTGTTTTTTCCCAGAGGTTATCAAGGGGCAACTATACACAGTGCCCAGTAACACTGAAATTTGACAAAGGAACAAGTGGGGAAGAAGTGGAGGGGGAAGAATTGAGACCACATCTACTATGAAGTGTTTGATTGTTTGTTTGTGTTTGTTTTAATATACAAGGCTATCTCAGACCTTGAAACTGGATTATATTCAGTCTCCTTTCCACCCATTTCCAGATGTTCCTCATTTTTGGCTGCAGGATGCCCTGTGCTCTGAGCCTGATATTTTGGGCCACTATTGCTGCATCATGCATAGCACAACATATCACTCTCAATTATGGTAAGAAAAAGAAATCAAGAGGAATCCTGAGATCATACAAGGGTGTGAGCACGCCAAGCAAAGATGATGTCTTGACTAATTTAGTACAAAATTCCACTGGGAACAAGGCAGAAATATCTGATGTTATTTTGTATCACAAATAGTGCTGACTGCAGAGAAAATCAAAGGCCACCCTAGTAAGAACAAGATATAAAACTTTTTGAAGTTTAGTCTGAGTGCATCTAGACCTAGAAAGTCTTACATTCTAGGATTTTTAAAAAACAAAACAAGAAATCTCACAAGCTTAAAAGGCTTAGTCAGATAAGGCGACTCATTGAGACTTTCAGACTGATTTAGAAAAATTAGTGTTTTGTAACCTTTTACTTAGAATCTCTAATCTAGAATGAGCTAAAAACATATTCAAAATTATATACATAGGGATCACTTCCCTTTCATTGAAACACATCCATATTCAGAGTGAAAGTCAAGATTTATTTTGAACAACATTATCCAATAGTCACCAGGATGAGACATGAAGAATCAAGTTACCCAACTGAAGTTATAGGGGGTAATTTAGGGAGATGGTATGTAATTAGCGAAACTGGGATCTAGCCAGGACACTAGTTTTAGGAAAAGGTTCATGGTACCTTTAATAACCACTGAGGTTATGGCTTCTCCTTTTCAGTCTTACCCAAAAAATGGCACCACCCGCAGAAAAGTGATCCCCAGTATAGGTAGGAAGCTTGTACAGAATTATGCCAACTGCATAGATAGTTAATTCACCATTGACAGAGGTGAATTAACTAACACCCAATATTGACCAGCCATACAGGTTACATTTCCAACTTTCCACAACTTTGTATATAATTTCTTCCAGGTTTCTCTTCTCTCCCCACACCTTCTCACTCACACCAAACCGCACAGCTAATTTACAAGGTTCACAGCAGGACAAGGCTTCTGTGTTGTTTTTGGCCACAGTGCCACCACAATTGGACAATGTGAATTGGCAGCAAGCAAACTCCTCTCTCTACACTGATGTCACAGCTTTAGTAGAATGTGCTACAGATTAGAGTCCCTGATTGTCACCACGGATCCACCAACTGCTTGGAGGACCCATCAGAACTCAGTTGACAATTCTGTCAATTCATGAGGCAGAGTAGAATCTTAGTAAAGCAGATATGTTGAGTCACTTTTCTGATCATCAGCACACTTTAAGCGCTGCTTGTGAAACAGTTTGGGCAAGGAATAAACACGTTGAGCTAGGTAAGACTCTGATCTGTAGCTAGTAAACAACTAAAAGGAATTAAGACAAACATTTTAGAAATGTTTTAACACGTTCCAGGCCATGCAGTTGTGCCCCCCCCATACGGATGTTTCAAATTCTAAAGTATTTGGCCTTCGGTCTTATGCGTCACACCACTCCCAAACCAGCACTGAATTACTACACATTACTGTATTATTGGTTAGAAGCATTGATGTGCTAGAAAAGTTTTTATAAGATAATACAATAAAGTATAGGAACATTGTATTAAGAGTATTAGCTTTGAATTAGCATTTGAAGGAACTGTGCATTAAGCTTGGATTAATTAATGCATAATACTGACATTGGGTTAGATGACGTTACTTAGCAATTTATTGGACAAATGAAGTTCAATTTTTTTTATTAAGCACATTCCACGGTACAAAGCTTTAGATCATGAACAATATCTGTACAATTTAACAGTTTCAATCAGCTGTTCATACACAAACTTTCCAAACGGGTCATTGGCAAACATAATTACAAGTTAGAATTAGACTATCCCAGTGCTTTGAAACATTAATATAGCAGTAATGTACAATTGCTCAATTATGGTTAGCAAAACAAAGTCCAGAGTGCAGCCAGGAGTCCCAGGAGCCGAGTTCCTTGGGTGCCAATCACAAAGTCCACTGCTATGTTACACAAAGCACAATCAAAGAAGGTGAGACTGCATGTTCAAACACCATTATCTCCCAAGGAAAAACATGAATTTAATCTTACACATGCATAAAAAAGGACTCCATTCTTCATAAACAAATTGCTGTTTCTTCAGGGCTGCAACTGATGTTTTTTTTAAAAAACAGTTTAATATTAAAGCTATTAGATGAAAAGGGTAAAGTAAGCCACTTTCACAAACTACTGTCAAGCTTACCAAAAGGTGATCTTACAGACGCTTATCGAAACATGATATCTTCTGTACTTCATGAGGTCTGATCATCTCGAAGAAATAAATATCTTTGTAGTAACAAGTTAAAGGGAATTTCCTAACAAACACTGATCCCAACACCTCTCTCTCAATGGAATCGAGGACTAACTGTAAGTTGCACTTTTCTAACATTTCAGTAACGTCTGATGTGCTCTTCATTCTGAATTTGCCCGACATGAAGGTGGATGACATCTAACCATAGCTGTTGCACTGGAAGTTTAGTATTAAATCACTGGTCATCTAAAGTGTTACCGACATTCTTTAACTCCCCTCGACCAAAAAAGGGAAAATCTGAAACCAAAAAGTGCTGCCAACAGAAGACGAAATACACAACAAATGACGACAGAGAAATGACTGGCTACATATCCGTGACAACATATTTCTCCCCCAGGACAATAGGTATATCTTACACACTCTTGGTTTTAGTGCATTTTCAAACTAAGCATTAAAGAAAACTACTGAAAACTGTAGTCATACATGGCAACTTAATAGGACAATACTATAAAGATGGTATTTATCTGGGTCTTGCTTTTACAAAGAAAAATATGATTAAATAAATGTGACTGTATAAATTAGAGACAGGAGAACCACGACAACGTAAGAAGGAACTACTAAGACATTTCCTAATAAGGACATGCTAACGAAGAGAAACATTGACCATGGCATCACAACAAGGTCATAGTGTAACAGCTATGGGTAAGTGATCTTAAATTCAACTTTAAGTCTGGTCATCATAGTACTACCTTGAAGGGGCCTCTACCCCGCCTCAATTGTTACAAGTTACATATTTAAATAAATGTAACTTTGGCTGATGGCATTTTTTCCATTGAGCAGCCAAACTAATGCTATGGAAGGACATTTGTAGGCATGTGTGGCAACCTACTAATTAAAAAAAATTGTTTTGTAAATACTGCGGCACAAAATATAAGATACAGAACATAAATTAAACTTTTTTTAATTTTTAAAAAGTTTAGAAATTACATTTTAAAATATGTAGTTCCCATTAAAAAAAATCCTAATGAATACTGAAAACTTCCTTTTGCAGAGAAATATTTCTATGTAATTCATATTAATCCCTTCAGTGCCAGTAGTTAGAATGTCCTGCTGCCAAGTGCTAACACATTTTGTATTAGTGTGTAGTGTCAGGAGATCCTGACTTCTAGCACCTGGAGGTTAAACTGTTATGTACATTATATCGACATGCTTATACAGTATTTGAAATTATGAGGCAAGCACACATGGAAAGATTTTACTATACCAAACATTAGGAAGAGTAGGACGGTTGTATTACAGGGCACAGTTAAAGGAAAAAAAGACGGTGCTATACAACTAGTTTAGATAATCTAGCCTGATTTACAGGTAATGTTTAAATTAAAAGAAATTATTGGTGCAGAAACAAGTAAACTGTAATCCAAAAATATTACTGATCCATTCAGAAATATTTCTAAAAGTCCAACGTACACCCCTATCAAACAAAACAGGCTCTGAATTTGTCATGAAGTCTAAAGGAGCATGGTGACTTTGAAAGCAAAACTCTGTACATTCTGGGTATGTGTTTGGCACCCAAATTTCACTGGAGAATATTTTTCTTTAAAGTCAGACAAAAGTGCAAAGCAATATAAATTAGGCCAAGTCCTTTCTTGACTTCTGATTTATTTCTGGAAAACAAGCCATCATAGTTCAGTTTATATGGACAATTTACACATGAAGCTTTGGATTTTTCACTGCAGTGAAGGGCAGGCTTCTGATTTTCATCTACTTGAAGTCAGTGAATTTGTAGTAAATTCCTTAGAGGAGACCACTGGGGACTGAAGGGGAGCAGGAAAGATTAAGAGAGATACAGAATTGCGCTGCTTTGCATCTACACAGCATCTATCACCAATTCTGACTTTAGCTGTGAATCAACATCTTCAGGCATGTAGTAGCCGGATATCCAGTAGTTCAAGATTGTGGAACCCTGAAAAAGATAAAGACAAGCTGAAACAATGGAAACTATAATCAGGCCAAGTATAATCTATTATTTGTAGACATATGGCAGAAGTTAGTTGGTATCCATCACAGAACACCCCTCCTCCCCCCCCTTGCACTCTGAGCGCACATGAAGGCATTAGCCCGCTAAAATAAGGTGTCTAAATATGCCAATCAGTATAGCACAGACTCCTTAGAACAAAAGTGTTAAAGGAACCAGGGTTTCTTTAGAATGATGCGATCAGTACAGGGTATGTCTACACTGCAATTAGACACCCACAGTTGGCCCATCGATCAGGGTCCCAGGCGCCTACATCACAATTAAAGAGACCCTTAGCCTGAGCCCTACAAGCCAGAGTCAGCTGGCATGGCCAGACACAGGCGTCTAATTGCAAAGTAGACATACCCTTAGAGGCTCAAGAGGTGACAATACCACCACTATAGGGCATCATTTTAATTCTATTGATTGTGGAACCTGGACCATACTTTAAATCAGATTTGTATGCGGATTGGGATTTGCACCTTTTTAAGCTTTTGAAAATTCAGCCCTATAAACATAGCAACTTTGAATTAAACTGACCTTTTCCTTACATGTGATATAAAACAAAAGTCTTTGCTAGGTCTTCAGGGACGGACTGGCAGGGGAGGAGGAGGAAGTGTAGTAGTTGGCACAACAGGCTTCGTTCCAGGTTGAAACTTATCTAATGGAATTTCAACCTACTCTTAACACACCTCAGGAAAAAACCCTCCTCTTCTACACACCACACAACACTACACAGAAGTGACCTAAATGTTATCCATTTTCATTAAAAATATGCATAGGTTATATCTGGTTGCACTGAATTTTTAATCATAGGTCTAAACAGTTGCATTGGGAAAATTGGCTTGTGAAACCATTCACCTTTTTGTTTAAATCAATCCAACCATGTAAACTATCCTTTATTCTATTTTTAATAGGACTATTAAGTTCAGTTACTTGTTATATTTATATATGAAAATGAGACTTAATGATCTTGAGAAATGAGCCCACAAATCAGATTAGAATATTTCCACAAGAGCTACCTTTTCACACAGTTATATGATTACATTATTTGATTAACTAGCTTTTCCAAACTGAAAATTCTTACTGTAATTAAGCTTAAAATAATTAAATCTAAGGTTAAATTTCACTTTCCATGCCCCAAAAACATGCTGCAGACTTTGATGAACTGCTCTATTCATGAGACTTTCATAGTTGAAAGTTTAAAACATCTTTTTCCCCCCAGTGCTTACATAGAAGAATATTAGACTATCATATGGTAACAATTTTTATCATGTTACAATAAACAAAAGGAATTCAACAGAAGGCAATAAAACTTTCTTATAACCCCCTGCCAGGTCTGTCAAAAATGATCCACTTTGAAGAGGCATATACATTCGGAGACTTGTAAAAATGGGTACAAAGCTTCTTTTGAGACTGCAGAGACGTACAGTGTTTGGGAGCATATACAATTGTTCCATTAAATATCATAATAAAATACTGGATATTTTACAGTGATATTTTATGTAGATTTATGTTTTTGAATTCTGATTATGAAAAAAATTCAGGAAAATGACACTGTGTGGTTCCTTCTATCCAAGAAATAATTACATAACTACCAAGACCAGTTAACTACAAGGATATGCAGCTTTGCATGTTTTCAATTCTCTGCATAATATGACAAGTCAGAAATATAAACTGCTCCAAACTGTGTCAAATGTATGGAATCTGCAGGGAAGTTGCTAAGTGCCAAAAAACATTTCATTTTGCACCAACAAATCTTAACGTAATCAAAGTGAGTTTGCAAGTGAGGGGGCAAGAGAAAGAGTGAAAATAAGTCATGAGGCTGGTACACTGCTGACCAAATGGAGTAAAATGCCTAGGAGTGGATTGAAATAAACTAGAGTGGACTTTTAGATGCGTATGTAGTTATACTTCTGACTGGCATGAAAAATAGGATAATGCTTCCATGATTGGAAGGTAATACAATATAACCCTCCCAATCATATTTCTGCACAACCTTTAAGCCATTCAAACCTATCTATACCTTGTTGGGGGGAAAATATGTAATTGGTACATGTCAACTGGTGGATTGTTTTATTTTGTCACTAAGAAAGTGTGGTTTTCCCACCAGGTGGCTTGATCTAAAGGCTTCAATCAATCAGAAAAAAGGAAATTGTTTGGGCAGGGTATAAATCACATGGTTAGCATTTGCTGTCTCCCAAATACTGACCCATGAAACCTGTAATATGAAAGTTGCCCTGTTTATGGTGAATGCAATTCCTTTAGGCTTGATACAACTCCCATTAAAGCCAATGGTAGTCTTTATCCATTTTAATAGGAGTTGGATCACATCCTTAGAGGCACAAGCAGTGGCAACTTTAGGTAGGCCAACACCATTACTGAAGACACTGCAGTAATATTGCAGCAATTCAAACAAATCTGAATTTTTAAACACCGTAAGCCACAGGTGGGCAGTGCTGAAGGAACTAGCTAATAGGGGCTCTGAAACTGTCCATTCTCCTGGCCAGGCTGACATTTCTTTTAAGCTTGTTGCCTACCTGGTATACATAATGAATTTAGCAGACAGAGAAAACTAAAAGTCATTTTCAGACCTCTGGTCTTCTCCTTTAAGGAGAGTGTAAACAGCCAATAAGGGAGTTTTATGCATGCCAACCTTTAACTGTCTTGCAGCAGAATTCTTAATTTCTCAAAGCTTGTTCATGAACTTCTATAGTTTCCTTTAACCCACACTTAACTTTTTCTATATTACAGTGTTTAGATGATGAATATTAATTTAGAGTGGAAGTTAACAGAAGATAGATGAACTCAAATTAATGAATGGTGTAGAAAAGGTAAATTAGGCACTCCCATTTGGAGACCGCATAATTAAAGACTGTGGCAAGCATAAAACTGACATTTCTTAATTCGAGTGTCTGATTTGCAACCTAATTTTCTAACCTTTTTTTAAAAATTTTTTTGGTCATTTCTTTAGGGATTTGTGTTTTTTTTTTTTTTTTTTTTTTAAGGAAAAAGGTAAAAAATTAATAGCCATGCATCGTCAGCGGATTTGAACACTGAGCCTTCAGCATTGCAGCACACACTGCTACCACTTGAGCTACAGGTCTGTAACAGGAAGCAGGAGACGGCTGTTATCCTATGGGGATGGAATGCTGGGTCCTGGGTGTTGAGGAAGCCCAGCCTGCCATGGCCCTCTTTCTGTCCTTCCCCACTCAGGCGATTGTGAGAGCTCCAGACCAATGTGGTACCCCCAGAGGAAGGGAAATGGGTCACTGGGTTCAGGTGGATGGAAGAAACCAGCCTCTCTCTCTTTGGCATGTTCATGAGATCTGTTATTAGTTTAATAAGCTGCTCACATTTTCCTGAGGCATGCAAGTGAGAACTGCAATTTATAATGATTTACTTCTCAACAAAAGCAAAATGGAATTTCATTAGGCAAAGAAAAGACATTTCACTAACAAGAAGGCTACCCCCTAGAAAACATCAAAGGTCTTCTGCAAACAATGAAATAATTTGTGGAACTCACGGTTACAAAATATCGAGGCCATGAGCTTAACAAGACTTAAAGAAGAAATAGATGTTTATATGGAATGCAGTGTTGTTGCAGTCGTGTTGGTCCCAGGATATTAGAGAAACAAGGTGGGTGAGGTAATTTTTTTTTATTGGACCAACTTCTGTTGTGTAGCTTGAAAGCTTGTCTTTCTCATCAACAGAAGATTGGTCCAATAAAAGTTATTATCTCACCCCCCTTGTCTCTCTCATTTATATGGACAATGAGACTATCCAGTTACATTTGATAGGAAAACACTTTTTAAGAGAGATAAAACCTCCTGATTTTGGGCATAAGCCACACTACTACAAATTGCCTCTGGTAAGAAAAAAAAACCTGTCCTATGGGCAAGCTTACTCCATAATTGTACTCTGTGAGGTGCCTGACCTTCCTCTAAAGTATCTGGTACTGGCCACTGTCAGAGACAGGATACTGGACTGTATGGGTTTCAGGTCTGACCCCAGTAAGGTAACCTCTGTTTCCAAGTCTCAACATTCACTGCTATATATAGTATGAAGTGCAACTGTTGGCAACAACATGAATGACATAAGAAAAAGACTCCACTGATGTAGCAAATGGATCTACAGCAGAGTTTTTACCCAATATATTTAGACAACTAAATATATATTTCAGAGTAGCAGCCGTGTTAGTCTGTATCCGCAAAAAGAACAGGAGTACTTGTGGCAACTTAGAGACTAACAAATGTTAGTCTCTAAGGTGCCACAAGTACTCCTGTTCTTTTTGTAAATATATATTGACTGTTGCAGAGAAATGGAAACAGTCAAACTTCATGTGAGTCTCTTCTGATGGCTTCAAACTCATTTTTCCTAACATGATGTATTTTTTCCTTTTGAAAACTTTTATTATTACTGATGGCTATCACAGGGAATTGTCATTTATGATGAACATTAGTCAAAATGGCATACATCTCAGTTTCCTGGAGACCGATGGGCAGTGCTGGCTAGTCCCAGAAACAGAAAGATAAAAGCCTCAATGAGGAGCACAATTTAACTGAACTCTAAAAGGCTCTTAATTAGTTTCATAGAAAGTTGTGGCCTGTTATGTGCAAGAATACTTTTTTCAATGTTACTGTAATTTACACGCATGCCTCCATTATATAACAATTTCCACATGACGCATTTTAAAGTGCTATAGATCATTAAGTCTCACAGCACCAAAGAAGGTAGAAGTATAAAGAAAATCTTGGCGTACAGGTCACTATGTTCTCTGAAAAAGGGCAGATCTGCTCTGCAACAGATGTGCCCTGCTCAAAGGAAAATCTCTCATCTCCATACTACTAATGTAGAAAGGGGCATTATGTGACATGCCCAAATTCACACAGAGCCAGCAGAACAGCCCAGGACAGAATCTGAGGCTGGAATATTGAAAAGAGCTTCAT